TGTCCTTACTTAATTCTGTGTCGATATTTTGTTCATAATTGTTGCCTACTTTTGTGTCTATATACCATTGTTTTATTATACGTAATTTTCTAATTATTAATAAATAAATGTTTGCAACAAAAGCAATTTATTATATTTCTTAACAATGGATAATTTAAAAAATTATGCATGGTTGGTGATTGTTTTAGTATTGCAAAAGATATATTATATATGTAAGCAGAAGATATATACATATATTACTTTAGTGATTTTTAATTTACATAATTGATTAAGAATGCGTGACCCACTTTAGACAAATAAACACTCATTCATAAATTTTATATTTTTACTTATATAGTCACAATTTTTTTTAAACCCTTAAAGAAGAAAGAAGAAGTAATAAAGAAGAAAGTAGTTATAAGATTTGGTTTTTATTTATATATATTACCTGATATATTTCTCTCAAGAAAAGATTGCTATTTTTTGTTATAATTAGTATCATGTTTATTCTGTTTGATTTGATTCCGGTAACATGAAATTGAAACTTAGATCGTAATTATCTTCTTATTAAATTTCTGCAATATTGTTTTTATTATAGGTTTCTTTCATATTTTTTTCCATCTAGATTTTTTGGGGCGATCAATCTACTTGTATACACCACTAGTTATGTCATTCTTTGATTTCCACTGTATTATACTACTAAACTATTTCTATTCTTCACGATTCTGTCATTCTAGCTACCTGTTTCGCCCTCTGCCATTTCAATTTCACCACTCGCTTAATCACTTTATTTTGTATTCATCGCCGCTTGTTCGTTTTTCTAAAATCTATTGATCTAAAGAATACAAGGAAAACCTTTCATATACAACTTCAAAGTCAAGATCTAATATTAAAATATTAGCAAAATATATAATATTTATGTTTATATTGTTTTTCGGTAAAAGAAGTTATTTTATTGATTTATTTTTATGGTGCGTTATAGTTGATAAACAAATTCTGTATTTAACAGAGTTCTTATAGAAAAGTGTAATAATTGTTCTAATTATAAAATAGCTTTTGTTGTTTGTTTGAACTTATACTACATAATCAGGGGTATAATAATAACTAAAGTTGTTAAAATATTCATATCTAATTTTATTAATTATTTCATAAACTATATAATTTCTAAAAATAACAGTTTAGTTTTTAGAAATAACGAGGAAGAGAAATATATACACCGTTGTAGCTTTTGCAGCAAAATAAATTAACTCGAATATATTTATTAACTACTGTAATCTGTTACTCATTTAGCCAACGTGTGGATACAAAATAATTATTTCAATTTTAAACTAATTAGTCTCAATTAGGTGTTAAATAAGTTGGATTACCTTGTTGGTGAAGCGGTTCAAAATGTTGGTTTATTTTTCCAATGGTCGCTGCTTAACACAAATATTTGTATTCAAAATAATTGTTTGTAGTGCTTTCAGAAATTTTTAATATATATTTTTATATAAGACAATTGTGGCGTATCAGTAATTTTATCAAAATTTATTTATTACATTGCATTTTTCACAACTTTCTTTGTCCTATATATTAAACTACGTGTATTTAAAAAATATTTCATGAAAATCACATCGTAATTCAACAAACAGATAACGCGACAACCAGTTAGCCCCTTGTCATGATTTTGTGGTATATACTCTATCAGTTGTCTAGTAACTAGTAACACTTTATTTAGTTTCAGATAGAGTGTTAACTAAATTTGAGGGTCTTGTACTAAAAAGTATCTATCCAATTTAAGGTCTCTATTACAGTCTGCGGTGTGTAACTTCTCAACGTATTGTGTGCGTCTTCTCACAGAATAACCAAAATGCACCATTTAACCTCCGATGTAAGAAGAGGAGTGTTATTAGTTAGACGCGTCTGTTATCATAATTGGTTAAATTAGACAGACATAAGGTATGGTTATGTCTGTCTGAATTAACCAATTATGATGCGTTTTTTATTTGTACAGTTTAAAAATAAATAAATAGGTAAAAAGGTCATTGGCAGTTAGATGCATACCATTGCTTTTGTAGTTAGTTTAAAGTTCACTATATAATCTTCCTGCTATTAAGTTTTCGTCTCTAGTTCCATGCACCTATATTGCAGAACAAGTAGGTAGATGCTCTCATTAATCTAGTACATTAGTCGTCGACTTGAAAGGCTCACTTCTTTTGCTGAAAAAAGGCAGCGCCTGGGGAAACGGCGCATGTTATTCTGAAAGAGTATAATTTATTGCATTTCTGCTGTATAGCTATGCACTACGAATTCCATAAAAACTTCTAACTTCTTCTTCTACTAAAAGTAATTTCATTCAGTAGTAGTTATTAATACTTGTATAATTTAATACATGCAGACCTTTAGATTTATTATAATAATAAGGCGAGGGCAAACTTAGAAATGAGATCTCACGCACTCTTTGAAACGATACTACTCCGAAACAGCTTGACCGATCAAGACCAAAATTTCATCGAAGTTCGATTTAATAATTAAATCACATATTTGTACAAATATTACCTGCATATAAAAATCAATAGCTATCAACTCAAACAATTGACCTATTTGAATAGTTTTTTGTATTGTTCGCTACGATACAGTAGTTTAGCAAAAAATATGTTGGAAAACAATAAAATTCGAAAATGCTATATTTTCTGAGTTCACTACGTATGAAATCAGAAAATATACAATATGGTCAATTCATTATTTTATTGTTTCACAGTACAGCTAATATTTATTATTGTTCAGAATGATTTTGAAGAATAATTAGCATTACTAATCGCTGATCAAATGACGTTCACCAGTCGTCTAGTTATATTAATTACACTAGTACCTAATGGATTAAGTTGTAATATTTAGATAGGTACAGGTAGATATTTACAGATAAATTAAAATCTATAATTATTAATTTGATAATAATTTTTATTCTCAAATTTTCTATTTCTTAATGAGGATTATGTAGAAAATTACCGAAGATTTGGTGAGACAAAGCTTGTTGAGATAAAGTTATTAAGATTCTACCTAACTATTCGGGCCCCTGGGCAAAACTTACTCATTCACAGTAAACCGTATTATTATTGTTAATTAGATAATTGATCTGGTAGTGATTTAGCCTACGGTTTTATTTTGAATCTGGCCGACGTCTAAATACTTTGTGTGTCAATTTATAAATCTGTCTAACTGTTACTAGCGATCTCGTCGCGTGGATTTTGATTACTTTTATTAAAATAAATTAAGTATCCAAAATAAAAGTAGCCTTAGTTAATCTTTATACCCATACCTGTGAAAGTCCCGTTGAAGTCGATCCAGCCGTTTTAGGGATTAGCAAGAAGAAACAGACATAAAGCCAATTTTTTTAAATTAATTTACTAGATGTACTCGTATTTAATGTTTACCTTTTTTTTTTTTTTTTTTTTACTGGCAGCTTGTCTACCATTCTTTTTATAAACTTTATATTTTTTATATCTATTTTTATACGTCACTTTTGACTATTACATATTGTTTTCTTACTTCTTGCTGTGAGCCCTTTTGGGAAGAATACACATTTTTGCTAATATTTGGATTTTATTAAAATAGTAGTTGTGTTGTGTGTGATTAATGTTTACCATTGAAGTTACCATTTTAAATATACCGTTTAGATTGTAATTTCTTATGCACGTAGTGAAAAAGCTATTAATTTGAATTTACAGACAGACTTCATTTTGTTTGTATAGATTTTGTTCAGTAGTAAAAATCGATATTAAAATTACTAAATTAATTCCGGAAAAGCTAATCTCAAATGTTTGTTCACCACGATATTATCAGTTGGCTACTATCCTTTCTGGGATAACAGTTGTGGAAAAGAAGCAATATTAATTAGACTGTCTAAAACACAATTTCGTCAAGAACGATAGCTTTACATATTCTTAGATAAAATATAACATTAAAGTTAAGGGTTTGTAGAAAAGACATTCAATATAATCTTTGTATCGCTATTTAGTTTGGTAGTTTTCACCTGAAGATGTTACTGATAGGCTATATCCGTATATTATAGTGTATATTGCCGTCTCAGGACGATGGGAACATTAGTACCCATTCCTGACAATGCCATCTGTCCTACACGGGTCTTATATTAGGAAGAGAATATTATTAAGTTTATCGGTCATATATTTTTTTAATGGATGATTATGAAAGGTGCACCCGCCATTTTCCACTTATTTTTAATACAGAATGCTTAGCTGGTTTATTTTTGCATAAAATTAATGTTTTCCCTTAACTCAATACTTACTAGGTATAATAAAAATATGTCTGTTTTTATCGCATAAAGTACGACGTATATTTTTAGAGCTTACTCGTTGAGGTTTTTATGAATGCTATTCAGTTAAAGCGTTCTCTATAACGTTGGCAAGTGTGGCCCAAGTTATAGTGCGCGCTATAAACTAGGGTCGAAAGTTGTCGGCTCTCGATCGATACAGACATTTACTTATCTACGGACGCACTGCCGCCGGACACGTCGCGTGCTACCTTTAATACAAAAATATCGATTTTTCCACAAAGCCGCGTCACCGCAATCAATATACCTTTCCGCCCCGTGCCTAATTACACCCGCCTACATCACTCAAACATCCGTAAAAAGCCCCGTAATCACTCCTAGGATGGAGCCTCGATGATATCCATCCTGAAAATAGCGCACACTGAATCATTTAAAGCGCACAGGAAAACGCTTCATTGTAAACGTTTTATTTAATTTTCCCTCCATTTACTTTTTTATAATTTCTGCCGGGCATAAAAAACGATCCGCCGCCGCAGGAAGCTCGCAAACATGTGTAACTGGCCATATCGGGACGCACACAGGGATAGGAACACCTGTCTCGGGAATGAAAGGTGTGCTCGAGCGTGCAGAAAAGAGACCACCGTATATGGAAGTAATAAGTGAGAAAGGGAAGTGGCGTGCGCGCGCAGAGTGCCGGCACGCCCGCCGCGCGTCCCTCTCGCGCTCAAGTCCACCCGCGACAAGTCAGTCTATCGCGTGCAGAGGCATCGCTTGTATGTGCCTCTCTTTGCTTCGACGCGACCGACGCAGTGTCCGTAACCGGTGTTCGGAAAATTGTGCATGTGCGTTTTCCGACTAGAGCAGTGTGTGTGCTTGTGAGATGTGCTATTGTTTTCTAGGTAACGGAGATTATTGTTGATAAAAGGCAGCCGGATGCTACGTATTATTATTACATTATACACTTGTTAGCGCCGTTTTATTTTCACTTTTATTGTATTTCCCACGATGCCACTGTCAGAAAAGCTTTGGTCAAAACATCCTAAAAATTGTGGCAAAAGTGAATTTGTAAATGAAAACGCCTGTTTTATCGAAAGTTAAAGTGCGCAACTCTTAATTAATAGCGCGATATGAGTTTATGATCCGTTAATAGTTTACGCTGTGGTTTCAGATAAGCTTAGCAACTGTCGGATAATAAACTACCTAGTTATTTTCAGGAACATCGAAAAATTTTAAATTAGGCTAGCGGTTTTCTTATAAGTCAACAAACTAACACATCTCATTAACTTACATAAAATATTACAATATATATTTTTCTGATAAGAAAGAAAACGTAAATAATGCGAATACAAAACATTCATACGACACACAAAACTTACAAAAGCGAGTCAACAACAATGGAGCCATAGTAATTACTGCTAAGTATCGAGGTACCGTAGATACATTTTCAAACCACGCATTCTTCGAAAGATTTCCTAAATAAATATATAGGTTATTATAATAGTGAAGATCTTAAGAAGTACCTGTAAGTATAGGTTCATAGTTTAATACTTAATTATGTAATAGGGAAAATCTACAAGGAAAATATAAACTAGAAATATTATTTACTAGTCGCGATTAAAGATGAGAAGAATAAAGTAAAAACTATCTAGTATCAAATAATGAACTACACATAATTTAATTAAAGAATATGTGAAATAAAAAATTGTGCCTATAGATAGATATATTATGCAAGTATATATTATTTACATGTATTTGATAATTGTGTAAAAAATATTGCATTAGGAATAGAAACTTCTTAATAGATTGTACAGGTACCGATACAATTATTTAAAAACCACATATTTGCTACTATTTTGAGTCCCTATAAGTTAAAACTTGACTATTGATGAGTCTTTGATTGAGAGAACTTCACAAAAAATATTAAATGAATAACGCTTTTTTTTAAATATATAGGTATATGATATGTACAATTTTGTAGAACAAACCTACAAATACAGAAAGGACATGAAATTATAAGAACTATTATGCACCACGACTGCATCCAGTAGGTAATAATGAATTAAGATTAAACTGTGAAAATATAATATAATTACCGATTCGAAAATTGCCATGTTATTACAATCTATAATTTTACAACAGATTAGTTGGAGCAGTAAGAAAATATTAACAAACGCTTATTCTCACCGGTTTTGGTTAAAATAATTTACATTTCAAAAGCAAGATTATTGTAGATGAAGGTCGTTTGAAAATGAGCTCGAAATCGACTGTGATTTGTACACAAAGTGAAATCTTAAGTCATCTAAGGTAACCTCGCCTTTCTGTTCAGATGTCTGGAGATAATTTATAAACCAATAAAACATAAAACAACAAGGTTACTCTAAATAATTAAGTATTTATAGTTTTGGTGATTTATTTATTATTTTAATTGTCACAATTAACATTAGAATCATGGTTGTATTCGTATGACAAACATCAGATTTATTAGAGATTAGAAGTAATAAATCCGTGACAAGTTTTATATGTATATAAATGAAGTAGTGAAGTGATAATACTATTACATTGAATATTACATATTTCAAATCATAATTAATCAATTAAACATACAGTCGTTTGAATATTTAATTTATATATGGATGATTCATTTCATTATTAACTACTAGTCACAACCGGACAGGTCACAACCGCCACTTACTATAATTTTCACTTAAATCATTGGACATTTACATTTAACATTGGACATTGGACATTAAAATTTTAAACGAATTATGTCAAATATATTATAAATACTAATATCTTTTAGTAAATTTCAATCTAATTTAAACAAAACTACTATTGTTACCTTACATGCTAAGTACTTCTTATAACAACAGGACTGTCCCGCTGCTTCATACCAAAAACTGTTACACCACTTGAAATAGAACTTTAATATTTTGTGGATCACCATCCTCCATCACTATGTGCATGTCTAGTTTAATGATAATTTTATTATTGTAACAGCGACCTTTAAATAGGATTGACCCACCTAATTGATCCCAATTAATGAAATAACCTCAAGAATGCCGCCGAGACAATTATACACATATGGTACTAAAAGTAATGGGAATTTTATCGAATTAAGTAAGAAGAATATTTTTTATAGTAGATAATATAATTCATGAAACTTATAATACGACTAGCTTTGTTATCTTGTCGCAGTATTTGTTCATCTAGTCCATCCTATAGTTATAACCTTCTTTAAAAAAAATTGTATTATTTTGTGTTTGTTGGTTGACATTGTAATGGTTTCTGAATACGTTTCACGTCCACCTATCATTAACTTTTTGTTGTCAATCCGTTTTTCGTGTACACGTAGTACTTTGTTTGTGTAATTACTAAGTCGAGTTCGTTTCGAATCACTTGAAGCAAGGTCTGCTATTGTGCTGGTTTCGTTGCGTCACGATATTAAGAGACCGCGGGCCATGGGAACGACTAATAGTCGCTTGTTAAATTAATTGTACCAGATTGAGATAGAAATCTGTATTTATATCTGTACGACCTCCGTATGAATGCATTTCAATGTAAATAGTTTAAAGAATGCAATTATTGCTTATAAAATTTTAACGTTATTCTATTCAAAATTCAATATACAGTAATAATAAAATGAATATAATGAATAATAAATATACAGATGAGTTATATAAATGCAGTATTGATTTATTGTAGACTTGATTACATATTACATAACATAATATAATAAAAGATAAAGTAGGTATGCCCCCTTTTTGCAAAACGAAAATAATATGTAAAAATATAAAAAAACACGGGCAATGCAAATAATATAAAATAATATAGACATGTATAATATATATAATCAACATAAGGAAATTTAATTAATGCATAATTTTACGTTTCATTGAATTGATAAAAATAAAAATTGTTACGTAGAATGTCGTATAGGTATAAATTGAGTACGATAGGATTTTCGCCGACTAGCAATTTGTTTTGTGTGTTCCGGAAAACGATCGGATGGCATTGATTTGCAATAAAAAATATTGCTTTGTCACGCTTTCTGCGGTTCGGTCTCTTTCACAACAGGCAGCAATGGGCCGCGATAATGCAGAAAAATCTATCTTTAAATTTGAAGAATATTGAATAGATGCTGACAGAATTGTTCAAGGATCACGCTCAAGTTACAAAAAGAAGAAATTGATTTAAATTTGCATAAAAATTTGTTTTTCATAAGAGCTGAACTTCACAAAATTCTGTTAGCCATAACTGTTTTCTTTCTAAAATCACTAATCATTAAGTACATTTTAATTTGCTTGATTTTTTTTATATTCACAAAAAATCCTATAAATTCAAAAATTAATTGCCTAAAATTTATGGTGGGCAATCTATCTACGATTATTTTAACTAAATATAGTATAATAAAAACAGACGATCAATTTAGGAGGCATGAAAAAAGAAAAATGTGTAACTAGAACACCAGCCGAGATTTTACACTGTATGTAAATATTTGCTGTAATAAAATCTATTTGCGTGATTAATTAAATGAAACGCTACATGATGTGTTTTTACCATCACTACCAGCTGCCACTGGATTGTGGATATGCAAATCACATGTTGGATATTTAGAAAAACATATCATAAGTATTTTTACTATATTTTTCACTGAACGAGATAAACATCTCTATTACAACCTAAAGAAACTGTGATCGTTCTATAGACTATTTTAAAGTAGTTTTTCACGCAAGTTTTTGAGAGTACCGTTTAAAGTTCATCAAAAGAGGGATGAAAAAGAATAGTGAAATAGTCTTTTTGAGTGGACAAAGAGAATGTAATTATTACTGCAATCTAAGCTGTGGTAAGTTCTTGATATCATTTAAACCGTACGCTTATTTGACGCCAGTTATTACAATTAATTAAATACTACCACAAGACTTTTATTCAAAGTGAAGTACCTCACTTTCTGTAAAATTCTTATGTAACGAAGAATAATATGGCGTTTGAACCACAGCTGATGTCATCGTTTCGCGAAAATTTTGCTCTAAAACAGGTGGTCTGTGGGTGTTCTCTGCCTAAGTGGGTAAATAGGCACAATTTAGGCCACCGCCCGGCAGTCGGACTGATTCAACACTTCGTTGTGGCAATTAGAATCAATTTGTGGGGCGCTCACTATGAATATAGGCCTCCGACTAAGTACCGTTCATTTCTCCTAAAATTAGTCCGAAATTATTTAGAGGCCACCAGTTATAGATGATGTCACTAAATTTGTTGCTGTTAAAGAGCTATTGGAATTATATATGTAGTAACAATTTTAGATATATTTTGGAAATTACTGTTGTACTATAATAGTAGGTATCTTGCTGAATAATAATAATGTAACAAATTGTATAATTATACTAAGTACTTATAATCCTATCTAGTAGGTTAGTCTGAATTTCAGTTGAAATTTCATTACGAAAATGGCTCCATTGGTCGCCAGGCCGACGTAGTTAATTGAATGGGTTTGTTTTGTTAGCCACATTCATGCAATAGCCCGAACCGTCTACATAATGCTTTGAACATGATTAATTAAAATTGATCACATAAAATAATTTATTCATTCCAATGAAATTGATGAATTCCAATTTATCACCGAAATAATTAGTCTTACATAAGACCTGATATTAATTCTTGAGACTTATTTCATTTGGCGTATTATTTTTTCGTTTAATTTTATAATCGTGTTTTTTAATATAGACCTAATAATGTTATTAGAGTTACTACTTTTTATATTTTTAATAATGTTACGCTTTAATCTAACATTATCGTATATATAATATGTAATAGCTACTACAAAGCTATTGTACAAATAACCGCTCAAAACCCAAGGAACTATTTCTTTGAGCTCCATGCTCATAGTTTCAAATTAAATTAA